GAACTTCTCTGTCGCATGATGTCAGCTGTACTATAAGCAGTGACGCTGTGTGAAAATTCCGTTGGTCAAAGCGCAATGAGAATCTTTGGAATAACAACCAACTATTAGCGTTTTTCAGTTGACATCAAAATTATTTAATTGTTTTTGGATTTTGACCGAGTTTCTGGGTGTATAAAGAAATAAAAAATAGAGACCTGTCATATGGTCAGATCCTGTTTAAGTTTGATTACAATTACTTCGTGCATTGGAAATAAGTAATATAGATTAACTCCAGTAAAGTACTATACTATTTATCATAATCTCATGTTACTTTAGCTAGTTTTCAATTTACTTCGATTCTTTTAGCCTGATTGATAATTTGAGGAAGGTATTTGAAATTGTTCGGCACCCGAATTTGCTCCCTTGTGTGTAATGGACATTTAAAAACCGTTCACTGGGATTCAGTTTAACATTTTAATCTGTATCCTTCAGTCTGCTAACGTATCTATGACCGAGCTGTGTCTGTATCCGTGACCCTGGCGTCAGTGTCCTCACCCCGCCTACGCCACATTATTTGTGGTCTGTGACGTCACCAGCGGCATCTGCGATCAAAGCGTCGCCACCGTCAACTCCCTGTTCGTCCCCGCCCTTTTTCGAGAAGGCAAGCAGCGGCAGAGCGCATCAACTGATGTCACTGCAGTGACTCTGACTGGAAGGTCGTCGGGTTCGAGTCCCGGCGGTGGCAGGGTTTTCGACACCATCTACATAGCTAGGTCGAATTCAGTCACTGTCTGGAGGAGAATTCTTGCGGCCTGCTGCTTTGGTCGGTAGTTTTCTGTGGTTCCTCCGATCAACACCAGGAGAATGCCGGAGCAGTATCGTAACAAACGGGCCACGGACCGCGCGCGATCTTCCCTCCTTGCGTGTCCTAATCTCCCCCTTAATTACACGGGCTTACACTTTTACACAACCGCACATGCCGTGAGCATAGGGCGTGTTGCGGCTGGGACGGTGACTCGCTGGTGGGAGATACCTGGACGGGAAAAACCCGCAAGCCGTCGGGGAGGCCGGCTCCGGATGTCGCCATCCAGCGGGATCTCTGCGAACTCTAGCGATAAAAATGCACTACACATACGGGATTATAAGGAAATATTAGGAAATGTCGATGAATAGCACACACATTCTGAGAAAACCTACAAGAGAAATAAAAAGGCGAACTTAAGAATGGAACCAGCAGGGACGAGTTGCAAGCACGTTTAAATAATCAGTAACTGTTTCAAATTAGTTACTTGTATAGGAGAAAAATTTGCCACGTAGAAGCTTAGTAAATTGCACCATTCTCTCAGAAACTATGAAATTCTACAAATATGAAGTATTAATTTTATTCGTATACATTGTTTCTTCTGTCCCAAATAATTTTTCTGCCCTTGGATTACAAACTTCACTACAGTATTACACTTGTTTTCGATAGTCTTGAACCTAATTTTTTTCTGGGTCACAATTGTTAATAATAGAAAAAAGATCACTCGTAGGTGGCCACGCCTTCGTCTTTTTCCGTCGTTACTGCGATTTTCTTTCAATTTCACATCTCAAATGTTGGGTGACGGTGCTCTGTCGTACGAGAACTACTGAAGCGGACCACTACGTCAGTGAAGTTGTATATTTTTATCTCTATTCATTGATGTGAAGAGAAGCCTAACAAGTGGAGTGAGAGCTTTTGTTTTCAGCTGTTGTCCCTTTTTATTCACATCTCACGTTTTGTATCAATGAGCGACGAATATGTGGTAGAATATGAAAATGTACACATTATGTACTGTAGGATATATTTGCACCATCAATGTTCATATAGAAAAATACTGAACTTTACCTAAGAATACTTGTCAATCCGTCAATGTCAACCCATCATTCAAATGTCAGAAGTTTTAATACAATGTATAAAATTACAATACAGAAGAACGTTGAAACGAATACAGAGCTTCTTTGCTGTTCAGATATGTTTGTAATGTCTAAACAATTTGCAACTTTCGCGAGTTACATGGTATTACATCTAATTTTAAACCAATGCATCGTGTTTCACTATTTTTAGATCATTTTTTAACATTATCAAAACATTTAATGAATATGATTGAATTTGTGTAAGAATGTGAAAGGAATATTTCTTACATTATTCCTATTCCAGGTATGTCCGCAAATTTTTAAACGAAATAAATTTTTACTTTCGTTTAATAAAGTATTTGAAATAAAATTGTGTTTCATTTGGAAGTATCCGTATTGAATATTACCTAGATCACAATTGTGAAACTACTCTTTTATTAATTAACCACAATGTGGACCTGATTTTTTAATTCGAGTATTTTTGCATAATCTTAAAATCGAAAAAAATTAAATAATGAAGTAACGTAACCTACTATGACTACTAAATTAGGTTAATAAACTAACATTCAAAAGTATGATCAAATAACAATAATATATGTATTAATGTATACATTTATTACATGTAATCATGTAGCTGACAAACATTCATCCATAAAATGACGTATTTCTAGCTTATCAACTCCGATCGCATAGGAAAGATTAAACTTCCAATATCTGAATATGAATCTTTGCAAGTGTTTAACATTCGTATTCCCATAACACTTCGCCTTTCGTATATTCTACCCCGCTTTTGTGGCAAGTGAAAAGACCCAGTTGAAACGAGGAAGCTGTTGGGAGATTTTCTGACGCAGTCGTCGTGTAATCGCCGTTTTGTGGCGTTTGACAGCTTTTCGCTTCGCGTCTGTTTTGAAATGGACGCGTGATGGCACCGGAAAACATTTGCCAGTTTCATTTGCAGCGGATTAGCTCGTGGGTGCACGGAGCGCAGCGCAAATTAAGCGTGTAATTTCTCTGAGCTTCCCTTGTGACACGCCTCACAGCAAATGTAGATTTTTGTTGCGTGTATTTCCGAGAGACGATTTTCCTTTGCTAGAAAAGAATTATTGGTGCAACACTGTAACTCTACTGGGAGAGAAAATTAAAGAATGCATTCTAAATGCAGGTTTCATTGTGTGTGGCATGCTACACAGAAAATGTAGATTTGGTGGTTCATGTCAATTTTGACAATTAAAGGCACGAAAATTTTCTATTATTGATAAAACCACAAATATTTTAGTGAGAGAATGAATTAAGATTGATTTTAGACTTCTATTATGCATTTGAAAAGTGATAAACATTACTTGTGAAAAATAAAAGGGAACAAGTGATACTTGTAATTGATTATTGATACAGATATTTATTCAGTTGGTAGAAAGAAAGTATTTACGCTAAAATATTCGCTTTTATTGAATTGAAGCAATTTACTTCGATGGGAATGTTTATAAATTAGTTTTAAACTAATTTTATGCTATTAGTTCTGTTTATTGAAAATATAGGGAGCGGATTTTGATGATCTAAACTATTGTCAAAAATGATCCATAAAATGCTTTTAAAATATTTTTAAAATGCCCTAAAACAAAGGAAAATGACGTAAAAAATGTGATCATAACCAGTTCATATAAACAACTTGAACTGTTGGATACTTTACCGATGTAATCGAGGCTTCTTCGATTCTTTCAAGTGAATTCAGATTTCAAATTTTAAGCCTGTGCTGTTTTTTACCAGAAAGTGTCTGTCTTTAATTATCCCAAAATCGTCTGAACCGACAATGGCGCTCATACGCGTCTCAAGAATCTTGGGATTACATACAATGGCAGTCTTTACAACTTGTGAGCGATGAAATGGAATAGGCTATTGTTGTAACTCGTAATTATTATTATAAGCAATTACCATTCACATTATATTAAAATCGATGAAAATGCATTAAAAATGACGGAACAAGGTAAAAAATGATTTATTTGAAACCGTCGAAAATGCAAAAAATTGAATAAAAATCGGTCATTTCCATTTGTCATAACATAAGATAAAATTTCTATACTAAACGAAATTTTTCTAAAGCGAAAAGAAAAAATGAAATTTCATTAAAACTCGACCCCCTATATCATTCAACATCACTTCACTCAATATCACTTTTAGTATGTTGCAGAATAAAAAAAGTAATTTTTAAAAACTCAGCATTGGGACACGAATAATTGTTACTAAGAAAGTGAATGTTAAAGAAAAGTGGTATGGTATTATAATATTTAAATAAAGTAATGTAGTTACATAATATTGAAATAATGCTAAGTATCTTTGAGCGGGATATCATAATATTTGTAATAAAATGCATTTCTGATGATTTTATGTTCTCGTTCTGCTTTAAAGACGTACTCCCTACGAAACTACACATAATTAAAACTTTCCTTAAATATATTGCTGTTGTTGATGTATCGAAAGCTCGGGAACATGGGTACATGTTCATTGGCACAACACAAAATGTGTGTTCAATTTCCCAAGAATATATTAATTTTGAATACACGGGCTATATTATGGGACTTAATTACTTCGCTCCGATTACCACTTCATTTCATCCACTTCAAAGTGTATCAGAGTGAAAGTATTTCTTTCTTTCTTTCTTTCTTTCTTCATAGTTTTATTTTGTGAAAGATATGAGCACATCGGAAAATAAAAGTAAAACATGGTGACATATCCTCTACGCATGGGCACCTTGTTCAGGCAAGTTTATGCACACCACCAGCTAATAACGTCTGAATGTCTGTCGTGAGCGAGTGTCAGCGAAAATGACATTAAACATAGCCGAGCCAACAAGTCAGGTACCTTCCTCTTCGAGGCATTATGAATTTTAGGTACTGCAGTTTGTGGATGCGGTTAAAGTCTTTAGGCAGGTAGTCATCAATAGCAACGAACACTTATCGTCCGGGAAGCAGCGAAACAGAATTCGAAGTTATCTACTGTTTCTTATTTGTTAGTTTTAAGTTACAATGAGAGTATAACCCTCAGTTACCATGCCTTATAAGAAAAATTAAGGCAGCACTCTTTCAGATGTTTGCTAATATTTCGAAAAAAACAAGGAAACCCATTAAAATTCATTACAATTTTTTTTAAAGCTTGTACTTTTTCCTACCAAGTGCTGTCGAATTCATTTCAAGTGGGTCATTACGCATCGAGTGAATGCAGATCAAAACTGTTCTTGGAAGTTTTCCTGGAGAAAGAAACAGTGTATTCGTTTACAGCTGCACTTAGCAAATATGGTGGCAGCAATGGTGATCGTAGCGGACATTGTAGGTGAACATTGTAGGTGAACATTGTAGGTGAACATTGTAGGTGAACATTGTAGGTGAACATTGTAGGTAAACATTGTAGGTAAACATTGTAGGTAAACATTGTAGGTAAACATTGTAGGTAAACATTGTAGGTGAATATTGTAATACTTTTATTTCACATGATCAACTCCCTTTCAGTAAGTTATATCCGGATGGATGGCTGCTTATTTTCGTTTTGACCTTAATTGGCAATAAAAATAATTTCCAGACCTAAATAGCCGTAGTAGATACGACCAAATGTTGTGTTACTGCCTCCTGGATAATTACAGTCGAAGGAAAAGGTGAATATCGCATGAAAATTGACACCCATTACACATATTCCTGCGTCAAAATATTTTGACTGCTAATAAAACCTGCTTATACAAATTGACTTTCTTGAAGCAACATTACAAACGGGTTACATATGTTATTTTTTGTAAAATATCTTCATAATTTTTTTTATAAGAGAAGCAAAGTTAATTTTTGGACAGGACTTTATTATGACGTCAAGAATATTTGACAACCGCGTGTAAAATAAGACAACAGGTTAGCTGTTTTTGTTTACCGCAATCCCCTCACAATTCTCTCTGTGATTGGCTGAACGTGTGATGGCGCAATTATTCGTGTCATAATATTAAATACGTAAATATATAATAAGCCTATTATATGAACAATTTCATGTAACGTTAAAGGTCGTTTATAATGATGGAATTCAAACAAATGTATTGGACGACACACGGCAAGTAACATAAACAACAGTCTCGGTTCATTAAAACATTATCTATCGCCACAATTTACGATGTTGAACCGTGTGTGTTATTTGCTGTTAATCGATCTAATGAAGTAAATTACTGTATCAGCTGCTTTGTTCCCGGACTACACGATTGTGGGTTCTGATTAGATTGGAAATTAATATTTTACACATAATAATAACATATATTTTACACATAATTTAATTTTGCCAGCCACCTGATAGGATTCTCCCTCATGCCCTTTGAAAAAACACGTTTTTCATGCGGGTTTGGAACTTGTGTTTTGCAGACCACTACGCGAAAACATACATTATTAGGAACGACCTACAGAAATTTTGCCTCAGTGTTATATGGGCTCCATTGCCTCTGCCGTCTTTCTAAACCGGGAGAGGTCCCTCAGGGCATCAACTGATGTCACAGCAATCCCTCTGACCAGGAGGTTCTAGATTCGAGTCCCGACGGTGGCAGGATTTCCGACACTAGCTTGCGAGCTTGGACGAAGTTTGTGGCTGTCTGGAGGAGAATTCTAGCGGCGGCTGCTTTGATTGGTAGTTTTCCGTGGTTTCTCCGATCACCACCTGGCAAAGCCAGAGCTTTATTCTAACAAAGGGGCCACGGGCCGCGCGCGATCTTTCCTACCTCCTATCTTCACCCCTTACACACAATTACCCTAGCACGCAGTACACTACCACACGTGGCGGGCGACCGGTCGGGAGTTTAGCGCTTGTCCCGGCTGGGGCGGTGCCCCGCTGGTGGGAGATACCTGGTTAGGAAAAAATGAGCTAGCAGACGGTAGGTCGGCGCCGGATCTCGCCATCCGTGGGGGAAAGACCACCGCCATCTCCCGAGCACAAACATGCTCTGCACATTCGAAACTAATGAAGGTTAGAACAGCGATGAAGGTCAATTTTCTTGAAGAATTGGTTTGAAGGTCTTTTTGTAGGCAGACCTTAGACCTGCGTTTCGAAGGTGATTGGCCTTCATCTTCAAGATCTTTTTCAATTTATTTGTTTATGATAATTAGTTTATGATACTTTAATTTAGAGGTTGTTGTTTCGAGGTTTTCGAGAAGTTTAGAGGTTGTTGCTTCTTTCAAAACAACAAGTTCAATTTTCAACCTTGTTCTTTCAGTGTCAGTGGGTTACATTATTGTCCTCACTACTGTTTCATATGTTCACAAAAAATGACTTTCCGTCTCAATTTTTTTATCAGTTATGATATTTAACAAGGTGGGAAACTGCAATGAATTTGAAAAAAAAAAACAAATATCTCCGAGGTACTCGATGAATGTATTCCAACTGGCTTTTCGTCTATACATTCTCCACAAAAATACATTTTAGGATACAACAAAAAATTCGAATATCCACGGAACCGGCAACATACATACGAAATTTCTGTATTATACGAAATCGGAATATTATTTTCTTGAAGAGCACTTAACTGGCGATTATTCTCACTTTTACAATTAATTTCTTTTACAATATTTCATATCTTCACGACAGTTAATAATACGACCATAAGAGCGAAGTTTTCTCGTTTTAGTTAATTGCTCTGATATGAAATGCATTATTGAAATTTTTATAGATTATTTTATGAATACATACATTACATGCTGAGTGACACGCGGAGAAAGAAAATAAAATATTGCCAGAAAAACGGAAACGGGAAACAAAGTTTTTAGGGCACAACATATAAATTACATTTTTATAAATAATACTTGAGGCGAAAATTTCATGAGGGCGTCCTAGAATTTCTGTAATGAAGTCCATAATCATTGTGATTCATTGCAAATCACAAGTAAATTTATACTGACACTGAAGAGGCGAGAATCATAGTTTAATTAACAAGGCTAAATATTTAGACTTTGATCATGATGATGATGATGATCACGCTAGGTATACGACGGAGTTCATGTGCTTCACATGTCCATCAGCGAGATTTAAATACCTTAGCTCTTCAAAGGTTCCCAGATATTGTCGGCAAACCTGATGTCATAATTACTCGTTACGTTACTACTCTATACGGACATAACACTGAAACAGTTTCTGTATTACTTAAGTCTTTGTGTGTCTCTATTGGATTGACATAACAGCTTCTGACGTGGCCAAGTCCCATCAGCAATGCCCCGGCCTTGCGATCAAGAGTTAAGGGGTGCGTGGGGTTTGCACGCACGCAGCCCGACGTCACACCACAGCAATAGATACTCGTACTTGAAAATTGCAAGGAAAGCGCGCACTATTTATCTGTCCTGACAGGAATCGAACCCGGGGACGCGTCATGGAAAAAAAGTCACGCGAGTTGACCAGTCAGTTATCCGTGGGAGTAGATTACTAAAATACACCTTGCAAATAATTCTATTCCGTGCAAAATTGGTTTAAACTTGCGATCTCCCATAATGAGAAATTTTGAAATCAACGCAGTTTAATGAAGAGCGCAAACTGACGTGAGGGGAAAATTTCTAAGCTAAATATAGCTTAAAGTGAAAAAAAGCTATTAAAATTAATGCGATTACCTTGATTGACGGGCTTAAAGATATAATCAATTCAACGTATCTGTTACCTTCTGTTTATTAAAAGGCCATTGGGAAAATCGGAGAATAAATTTGGTGGAAATGATATTTTAATAAGTCAATCAAATAACGCAAAATTTATTTTCTGTATTTTCCAAAATTTATCAGTGGTATAGAAATTCGTATCATCAGACAACTTGTAGCCGATTAGTACCTTGAATTTATATTGAAAGTTTGAAAAAGTGGTGGTAACAAAATTTTCGTGCGTTGAAGTGCAAGTGAAATCTATTTCAAAACAACTCGATAAATTACAGAGCAATTATAGTATTTCGTGAAACGAAAAAAGGCGTTTGCCACGACACCTCGTTTTGTGGCAACTCGGGTGTTGTTACATATGCAGATTTCACCATCCGCAGGTCAATTTCGTCGTAGGGCTTTCGTGGTGGGATCTTCTTTAATTTCCAAAATGTATCAGTGGTATAGAAATTCGTTTTGTCAGACAATTTCTAGCCTATTAGTAACCAATTTGTTTCGACAATGTTCTCAAAAGGTTGTAACAAACTTTTCGTGCTTTGAAGTGCAAGAGAAACCTATTTCAAACCAACTCGATAAATTACAAAGCAATTACAGTATCCCACGAAACAAAAAACGGACCTTAAATCTTGAACGCCACCACGTATCGTGGGTACACTGGCATCGTTACATATGCAGATTTGGCCATCCGTAGGTGAATTTCCTCGCGGGGCTTTGTTCATATGAGCATAACTCTCCCGGCGCGTCACCGAAGGGCCGAGAGGGAGGGACGGCGGCGGGGGCGGGAGGCGGAGAGGGGGAGGAGAGGGTGCGGAGGGCAAAGGGGGCAGCTAGAATCGATTGAGGCTGCCATGCATCGTCTCTCTTCCCCACGTCCTCTCCCCCACCCACCACATCACACAACTACTCTCGTGGGGTGAGAAAGTCAGTATTTCGGGTTTCCTCATCGATTAATTATCGATTCCGGGCGCGATATTAGTCCCGAAAGTGTAGCGCGTGTGTTTACCGCAGTAGGTGGATGTGATCTTTCGCCATTGGATGGCGAGATTCGACGCTAACTTACTTATCGGTTGGCGGGTTTTCCCGAACCAGGTATCTCCCACCTGCGGGACACCGCTCCAGCTGGGTTAAGCTCTCAGCTCCCGACCGGTAATCTGGCATATGTGGCAGTGTAGTGTAAGCAAGTGCAAGGGGGGCGAAGACGAGACAAAGATTGCACGTAGTCCATGACCCGTTTGTTAATATATTTCCGCGACATGGTCCCCTGGTGTTTATTAAAGAAACCATGACAAAATAACGTTAATACAGCCGTCCGCTAGAATTCTCCTGCAGATAGCGGCTGAATCCGTCGTGGGAATCTAGCTAGTGTGCACAATTCGGCCACTGCTGGGAGGCGCTGCAGTGATGTTAATTGTTGGCGCTAGCCACCTAAGCCGGCTTGTGTTTTCTGGTTCGCCCACTAATGACTATGGTCATTATTTCTGTGAATGTAGTGCATCCTATAGCCATATGGTAGCGGTGTTTCTCCCTCCTCTGTATCATACATCCGGTGTCGACTCACGCGTGAATTGCGAGTTTCCCCGTCCAGATATCTCCCCCAGCGGAGCACTACTTCAGCCGGAATCAGGTCTACGCTGTTTTCATGTGTGGTAGAGTGTGTGTGTATGTAAGGGGAGAGGAGGGGACAAG